AGATACTTTTTGATGTACCGTGATAGATAGAGCTAAAAACTTAAATCCGAATGTTATTTTTACTTTCAAGCATTTTTTCGCACATATTCTTGATCAGCTCGCCGAGCTCTATCGATTGGCATATTTGAAAAAAAGTTCCATTCGTATTTCCTATCGAAAATGAATTATTAATAGCAATCCAGCGTCAAAAACGTTGGCAATTTATTATAATTTATTTTTGCAACAAAATGCATTTTGAAGCTCCGAAAAATACAGAAAACTACATAAAATTGAATTCTCTATCGATCTACACCGAAATTAAAACATTTTGAGGAGGGGTCGATTTCTATAGGCTTTTGGATCCCGTCCTTTTAAGGGAGTTATAAAATTTTGAATTTTAAAGCGAAGTTTTCAGTTTTTGTTTAACGAAAGTTTTATAACTCTATTAAAACTATAGATCATAGATGTGTACAATAACTCAAATTGATTCATTAAGATTTTCTGGAAATATTTGATACACCGAGAAAGGTGTAATCTATAAAATGACACAAAATTTTCCTGCTGAACGTTTTTTTCGCACTATTCTTTTTGCTAATAGTTTTTGTAACTCGCTCCGCAATGAAACATACTCTGTAATAGGCAAGTTCTCTCCTGTTCTCGTCAAAAGTTCTTCATTTAAACTATGATACATGGCTGCTGGTTCAATATTCAATATTTCACTTAAATTAATGAGTGCTTGTCCATTTAAACGTATGATCAATGGTTCTAAACAATGAAATGAATTTGCTTCACACCAATCAATAACATCGTATTCTGTCCATTGAGATAGAGGTCTAAGCATATAATTTTGTGTTACACATGCAACGGAATTTTGTGATATTGTTTGATGTTGACCATAAGCTGCTCGCTTTATTGATTTATTATTAATTTTATTATTACTTGTTTGAATTTCATATGTATCTGAATTAACCGATAACGAACGAATATCTTGTCGTCGTTCTCTAATTGTGGATGATTTATGATCTGAAAATGCCACTATTGGTAATGTTTTATGAAGAGCTGAGGCGGATGCTGGTCTTGAAATTACTTTTCGTGTAAAACGTCGTTTAATAGTTATATGACGATGTTTATCTCGAATAATATCTGGTAATGTTATAATTTTTTGTGTTTTCGTTTTATTTGCTGTTAATATCTGATTTATTTCAGTTACTAATAATTCATTTGAAAAATCAAAATGATTAGAAAAATTAGCTGTTATTTTTGTTTCGTTAATTGTGTTTAATAACCAGCTATCCTCAATATCAAAATCATTTTCAACAACAATTGTTATCAATGGTTTATTTAAATAACGACTTAACATCACACAGAAACGAGATAAATTATCAATTTTCATTTCATTATTAGCACATATTATTGTCAAATTACTTTTATCAATAGAATTGACTATATTTTGAAATGAAATAATATTAGAACATTTTGACGTGATAATTTCAACGTTATAATTTTCTTGTATTAAACGATCACGTATTCGAATATTTGTATCCATTGTCTGACCACTCACATTCATAATCAAATTTGTGTCTGATGTATTAGTATTATACTCTAAAATTTGTAAAATTTTGTATATTGTTTAATGTTAAAAAAATGAAAAAAATATTGATAGTAGATGTTTACCTGATTGTCCATCTATCATGGGCTCATTCTGATTACCATTATTCAAATTCCACAATATACCATCAAAATATATATTTATAGGTGATAATGATTGCTCGTTTTGAAGTTGAAGTAGACGAATGAATTCTAGTCTTTTTCTAATTAAATCATGACTATTTATTGTAAATGATAATGTCCACAGAAAATCGACAATATTTTTATATGTTTCACGTATAATTTCAATTGTTACCGTATTTAATAATTTTTCAATTTTTGAAGAATAAGGTTCTAATTCATACAATATCAATATTGTATCAATAACAATACTAATTAATGAATTCATTTTTCCCATTTCAATGATCATAGGTGTATGTAAAAGAAAACGTTTTACTATTTGTAAATAGTCTGTGATATTTTTAAATTTTGGTATAAGATCATAAAGTGTTGTAAAATTATGATCGATTAATTCAAATGCTGTATCTCTAACAACTGGAATATTTTGACGTATTTCATCTGTTGTTGCTAAACTATGTAAAAAATCTTGAAATATATATAATAATTTTATATTTATCATTCGTATTACACGTTTAACAATATTTTCTCGATGTAAATCTTGATCAGAAAGTAATTTTGAAAATAAATTCATTATATCATATGTCATACTTGTTGGACCTATTTGTTTATGAACATTTAAAATTGTTTTAACTAAACCTAATCGTCTTAAATGTCGTTTGCCTATATTTTGTACACTAATTATATTAAATAAATTAATAATATATGATAATACTGTTTGATTATAATAAAATGTTGATTTTTGTTGTTGTTCATATTTATAATTTGTTGTCATTAATGATTGTTCAAATGGAATTAATAATATTGAACAAATATTTTCATGTATAATTAAATCAAGATTAAACATTGCATGTTGTTGTATACACCAGTCAAGTAAACAAACAAGATTTTCAGATAAACGATCCATTATAGAATGCCAATAATCATTTTTACTACCTATAGCTAGTGAATCAACTGTATTAAATAATTCTTTTAAAATTATATGAATATTTTGAAGAATTTTTGAAAAATATTTTAAATCAATTGTTGACATTAGAATATAATCAATACATGAATAAATAACAAATTGAATTTTTACTGTAAAAATTGATGTTTTATTTGTACGTGATAACAATGATCCATAACGATCATAATCATTAACAGTTGAAGAGTAGAACAATGTTGTACCACTATTTTCACCTAAATTATTTCTAATTAAATTTAAACCACATTGTAAAAATATTGATGATGTTAAACAATTTAGAATAGCATCAGTTATTAAATGTAAATTATTATTATTATTATCATTTTGTAATAAATGTGTGTACAATGTGACAAAAATACTTGCACCACGAAATAATAGATCTAATGTATCATCACCATTTATTGGTCGTTGATTATCAATAGGTGATGATAAGGATAATACGGTTTTTGAAACTTTTTTATCGACACTTTTCAATTCAATATCATCAGCTGAAATCGAGATAGACTGAATTTCTTTGTGATCTATATCATTCTAAATTGAATAAACATGATTTTCATGTTATCTTGTAAATGTAACATGTGAATCTAAAAGAAGGCGATACTTTTATTTTTTTTGAGTTTCTGAATACGGAAATATATGGGCTCAACCCTTTATTCTAGGCTCAAAAGAAGGACAATTTTTTACTTTTGAAAATCTAAGAAAATGTTTGCTTTTCGTCTGCTGTTACTGAATACTGTTTCCTCAGACATAGGATCAGTATGTTGATATTACATGTGTACGATTTTCAAAAGTAAAAAATTGTCCTTCTTTTGAGCCTAGCAGTCACTTCACATAAATCACGACCTACCGCTATAGAGAGGTGTTCAGAATGGAAAAACATTTCAAGTTTTTTCGGTGTCATATGAAAGAGCAAACATTTCTGAGTAACATGGTGTCTGATGATTAAAAAAATAATGTATGTTTACTGAGCTATGAAGTCTTCGAAACTAGCTCCGAGGTAAAATAGCGGTTTGAGCATGAGGCACATGTTTCAGTAAAATTAAAATATCTCACCCTTGTAAAGTGATAGAGTGGTCGGATTTGCGTTAGTATTTAAGTTGATGTACAGACTAGCGATGATCCCACGTACATTTCCACCACATCTGTAACGTGGTGAATGATGAGTTATCATTTTTGGATTTTAGGGCTATTTTTGAAATATCTTTTTTTCACGGCAGAACAAACATTTTTTGGACATCTTTGCGTCATTATGTAGTCAAGTAGTTACTGTATTGGGGTATGAAAAGAGAACTTTGAATTTTTAAGATCAGAGGGAAAACCGGGTTTTCGAATATTAAAACTCGATTTTCATGAAAAACTAACGTCATATTCATGTTTAACGTCAAAAACTGCGCTTAGTAATATGCCATTCGAATCTTAACAAAAGTTTTGCTTTTATCTAAAAATCACGCCGAGAGGTGTTTTGGTTACTAAACACCTAAGCGGGGAGGGGGGCAAAAGGCATTGTTTTTTAGATGACGGCAAAAGTTTCGCTAAAGTTCGAATGACACATCATTAAACGCATTTTTTGAAGCTGAGAATGAATACTCAAGCAAAACTGCTCCAGCCCAAATATCCAGATGTTTTAGCTGGCGTACCGATAGATATTTTTTACTCTTTTATCTAGATGCTCTAGGGGAAGCATTGAGTTAACTGGCTGCTTTGCTTAATACATTTTTTCTCATACACCAAGTTAAGCCTGATGCAAATGCTAATTTATGGTGGTAGGTCGTGGTTTCCGTGCAATGGATGCTAGAATTAAGTCTTGAATCCATATTTCAGTATTCAGAAAATTAAAAAAAACAAAAGTATCGCAATCTTTTAGATCTACTCGTTAGAAAATAAATAATTACCGATATTCGATTTATTCCATTACAATGTCCGGTATTTGAACGATTATCAATTGTTTGCTGATTATTATCATACAATTTCATGGCAATCCGTTCTTGAACTTTTTCATCTTCCACTTGTTGAGATATCGTGTCTTCACTATTTATTGTACATAACTGATTAATTATTCTATTTAATGTTGATAAAAAATTATCATCGAGAAACAATTCATTAATCGTCTCAATTTCATTTGTATTGAAAGATGAATATAAACTATTTTTTGATTGCAACCATTCCGTTAATAATTTAAACACCTGATAGGTATAGAATAGAGCACGTTGTTCATCGGCATTAAATGTCCCGTTAATCAACCAAATATTCAATAAACGTTCACACCATTGTCTTAAACATATAAATATTCGATGTTTTATTATTAAATCTATTTGTTCTAAGGATAAATAAGATATTGATTGTCCAATTAATGCTAATGATGGAAGAATATGTAGAGGAGTAACTGAATTAAATAGTGACCAAATTAAATCTAAATGTTGAATATAATCATCATTGGTTAATGTCGACGATTGTCCTGTTATCACAGTACATAATTTTCGTATTTCGTTCATCTCTCCTATAGCAAAGTAATAATCTAAATGTTGACAGTCAAATTATACATGCTGTGGTACGATGAACACACTTTTAAACTATTGTTCAATTCTAAGATGCACATCTATTTGCATAAGTACTCTTCATCGAAAATTTTAACTTTTTTCTTCCCGTTCACATGTACATATAAAGGCATTAGTGCAACATTTTAACTGTCTGTTCGTTTCTCGTTCAGACTAAAGAAACGAAAGAAAAACATGTTGTGAATCGAAAAATCAAAAATCCTTTCAATGAAAAAATAAATAAAAAACCTCAATGTTGATAAAATATAAAAGAAAAATATTAATTTTCACAAAATGGCAGTTTGTAGAAATTTAAGCTTCAATAGACATAGTTTGAACAAAATGCTATATAAACATTTGAGTATGTAACATACTGATGCTAGTTATATCTGGCATTGTTGTCGAATAAGATTGATTAATCATCCGTTACATACTTTTTAGACAAAAGTAACAGTACTACTATCAATTGAACTAAAAGATATCTGCAAAGTGAATATGAAACGTTTGTTATCGTTAGTGTCTCGATGATCGAGATTGTATTTTTCAGTTTAACCATTATTCAATATTAAACAATATGACAATCGATAAACTGCCAACTATTTATTATCCTCATTCAAATCAGTCGGACTATATCGAATTTCCTAAAAACTGAAACAAATTGTTCTCGGCGATATGCTCTGCAAAGTATATGCCATGAAGACCATGCAAACTATCTTTATTTATTGAGATATTTATGGAAGAACAGAAGCGAGAAAAGAAAAATTACTCCAAAAAATTTAGTAGTAAGATTGGTAAGAATCCTTTTTAGCTTAAGAGTCAGATAGTAACGTGAACGGCTTTTAAAAGATTAACACAAAAGTTTTCACTTGATTTGGATAGTTTGTGTGAAATAGGAAGTTCTTAGTTTTTGTTGAAAATAACCTAAAATTGGTTAAAATTCTTTCAGTATAAATGAGTTTTTATTAGATTTTTGAATTTTCTCTAAAACAAATACCGTCAGCACATGTGGTTTAGTGCGTGACTTTCATTCCATGTATTTCTGAGGCTATCGCACGATTGCGAAGACCAGTCCTGAGGTTCCTAGGAAATTCGATGTTTGTATTGAAACAAGGGTTCCGCTTGACTTCTATTTCAAAGAGAAGAATATCCTAGGCTATCTCTATTCGTGGAAAAAAACAAATTATTCATAACTTAACTTTTGCCTTGCGATGCGATTTTCCAAGTAGCTCCTAGAAAGATTACTGTGGCGATTTTCAACTTATTTTTAATGAAGAGATTCTTAAAAGTTGTGTCGACGAATGACGAAAGCACGAACTCATTGGTTGCATCTGATCAAAAGCTATACTGAAAACAACCATTATATCGTCATATTTTCAAATGGACAGCAGTTTTGGAAAGCGACTTAGAACTAGAGATGTGCAGGGCGCCCTTACCCTACCCTGCCCTACCCTGCAGGGTAGGGCAGGGCCAGGGCTTAGAAGTCACAGGGTAGGGGAGGGCCAGGGCTCTGAGATCCATAGGATGTCGAATATAAAAAGATATTTGCTTCATTTTTCAAACGAATAGAAGATATTTACGTATCGCTTGCACTATGTCAATTTGTCCATAGATCAGTATTTCAATGAAGCGCTGCAT